TGGATTAAATAGGTCTGTAAATACTATTTAAATATTGGTCTAAACTTTCTTTCTCCTTATATTTTGTTAAGTTCGAAAGCTGAATTTCCTCTGTCTCTGCCTCCTCAGATGCCAAGTGGTAGACTCTTCCATGCTGCTGCTGTGATTCAAGATGCCATGTACATCTTTGGAGGAACTGTGGACAACAATGTGCGCAGTGGGGAGATGTACAGATTCCAGGTCAGACAAATTTATTGTTGAAATGTATAAGCATTTTCTCTAAATATTTTGTCTCTCTCAAAGAAAGATTATGGATTTGGTATACTTGAACTATAAAGTACCTCTTAAAATGATAATTTTGTCTTTCTTGCAGTTCTCCTGCTACCCAAAGTGTACTCTCCATGAGGATTATGGCAAACTGTGGGAGAATCGTCAGTTCTGTGATGTGGAGTTCATTCTAGGCGAGGTGAGTTTTCTAAACTGCTGATTAAATTAACTAGGTGACTTTCCAGTATTGTTACATATTGTTCCAGCTGTTTGACTCCTTGTTGTTTACAGAGGGAGGAAAGAGTCTTGGGGCATATTGCCATAGTGACTGCAAGGTGTCAGTGGCTACGGAAGAAAATTCTGCAGGCTTGGGATAGGCAGCGACAGGTCAGAGCCTTGCAACAAATACACTTAATTTCCTCTGAGACACAGGAAGATGATCGGTGTTGTCATAACGTCATAACATATTTATACACATGACACATTTGTTAATAGGGTTGAACTGGCACACAGCGGAAGACTTCAGTCCAAGTTAACTGTTCCAATTAGGCAAGGATGCACCTGTGCCCCACTATCGCACATCACAATATTAGAACCTTATTTACAATGTTAAGCAATGGACAGTGCCACAATATTATTCCCACAACCACATTTCTATAAAATGAAACAACATGCTATAGAGGAACCTCAACTGTAATGTTAAACAAGGTTTTACTTGTTAAAGAGTTATATAACCTGTGTGCAGAAGGCTAAACACGACAGCAGTGAGGAAAGTGATGAAGGTACAGCTGGAGGCCCGAGGGATATCCCAGCAGGCAACAGGCCATCGGGAACACAGCCGATGCTAGAGGTATCCATCAGGGAAGCAGAGGCCCAGCCTTTTGAGGTCTTAATGCAGTTCCTCTACACGGACAAGATCCAGTACCCACGCAGAGGTACCTCTCTCCTCATGGTTGCCTTATTTGTCCGTCTTTTGATTGTAACTGCAAAAATCATAAAGAGAGACACATTTTCATTTTACTTGCTTGTCTCCATAGGTCATGTCCAGGATGTTCTTCTAATCATGGATGTGTACAAACTGGCTCTCAGTTTTAAGCTTTCCCGCCTGGAGCAGCTGTGTGTGCAGTACATTGAGGCATCTGTCGACCTGCAGAACGTTCTCAGTGTTTGTGAAAATGCCAACAAGCTGCAACTGGACCAGCTCAAGGTAACTGTATAAAACTAACTTGTTTTTACTGCCCTCCAGTGGTTGAGGTTCAGGGTGTTTTCAGTACATTAAATGTTATGATTTCAAGCTTTATTACGTTACTTTTAAAACCAGAAATACTGACAAAAGTGAGGTGATAATTTATTCATGCTAACAAATTGTTTCTTTCTCCAGGAACATTGCCTTAACTTTGTAGTGAAGGAGTCACACTTCAACCAGGTGATCATGACGAAGGAGTTTGAACGTCTGTCCACTCCGCTGATTGTTGAGATAGTGCGACGTAAGCAGCAACCTCCTCCCAGGTTGTACTCAGACCAACCTGTGGACATCGGGACCTCTCTGGTCCAGGACATGAAGGCTTACCTGGAGGGAGGCGGCCTGGAGTTCTGCAACATTATCCTGCTGTTAGACGGACACCCACGACCTGCTCATCAAGCCATACTGGCAGCCCGATCCAGGTAGAGTCAGCACATGTTTTATGATCTTCTTGGTGCACGTACAGCAGCTAGAGCAAGTTATCAGACCACTTTTGTACTTTTTTGTGTAATGATACTAAGCACACATTTTTATTTGGTATTTTCACTACACAATTTAATGTGCTGCTGCTTATTGTCAAAAGAGAAGAAACACACTCAGTCTTACTACTCAAGCAAGTTTAACTCTTAATGGCAAAAGAGTGCCATCTTTAGGTTTTAATAAGATGATTTTAACAACAAAAATCGCGTTCCCTTTCAGCTTGGTGATATGTCTGACACTTTTTAACGTTTAAAATTTTTGCTCCTCAGTTACTTTGAAGCAATGTTCCGATCCTTCATGCCCGAGGATGGTCAGGTCAATATCTCCATTGGTGAGATGGTTCCAAGTAAGCAGGCCTTTGAGTCCATGCTGCGTTATATCTACTATGGCGACGTCAACATGCCTCCGGAGGATTCCCTGTATCCTTCTCAAATTCAGACTGCTTTATATTCATTCACCAGAAGTCTGTCCAAGGCAGAGCCCACTATAATGACAACATGGAAAACTCAATAAAAATACACTTTGAAAGAGACCACATCCTTTGATGAAGCCAACTAATGAAATGGGACTCAGCTTCTGCTCTTCTCAATCCTTGAGCCAGAAAATACTAATTTGACTAACAGAGAGGAACTGTGGTGGAGTTAAAGTGAAATGAGAAAGCTGTAACCACAATGGTTGAGTTTGATGAACTGAGAGACATGTCAATTCAGGTAGACACACTCAAACATACTTCTCTTATTGCTTTGATGTCTTCTCTCCATTTGAGACCCTAACTTAGTGTTAGAAAATGTTGACTTTGTGTTCTTAGGGAATTTTGTTCAGTCATTTTCAGTGCAGTTCATACCTGTGAGTGGCCCACTAAACCAGAAGCTGTGAGATAGATATATCTAGGTATGTGTTTGTAAATGGTTATGGGTTAGAATAAGAGGTGTTTGAGGTAAAGGTTTGACATGGTTAAGATTAAGGTCAAAATCATTTCATTAGAATCCGTAAAAACAATACAGTCAACATCTGGTGGTCATTATTGCAACTGCATCTTATTGGACTTCTATTCAGCCATTGTGGTCACTACTATGAGATGGGGTGCATATAATGAGCAAAACTCTCCTGTCTTAATTTGCTGTGTCTAACGTCTTCTGTTTAAAGCTAGAAGTGATGACTACATGAGTGGTCAAAACACACTTCCTAATGTTGCTTTAACATTTTTCACAGGAATGTATCACAGAGAGATGTTTTTTGTTTTTGTTTTTTAATTCCTTGACCTGTCATAAACAGCTATCTGTTTGCTGCACCATATTACTACGGGTTTTCAAACAACAGACTGCAGGCTTACTGTAAGCAGAATCTGGAGATGAACGTCACTGTGGAGAATGTCTTGCAGGTATTTGTGTTTTTACCCGTGGGGGGAGAAGTGACCTAATTTGACAATGTTGTCCCACACTTGAAGACATTACTTTATGCCGCATGAATCATTTCCGTACTCACTGCTCCCTCAATATTTCCCCCCCCCTTCAGATTCTGGAGGCAGCTGATAAGACCCAGGCTCTGGACATGAAGAAGCACTGCCTACACATTATTGTCCACCAGTTCATTAAGGTGGGTGGGCTTGTATCCGGAGCCCTGGGGGTTTGCTGCCCACTCACTGCAGCTGAGCTAACCCTGTAGGCCTGTCTTCCTTGCGGGAGACTTTGGCCTCTTAGTGGATCACCCTCCCATCTTCTGCGTAGAGAGGAGACTGTTTACAGCCCGGCCGGCTGAACAAGCACCTCATCACATAACGATGAGGGTCAAAGTGCCACTCTGATTATTGTTTGTTATTCAAAGACACAGCGAAGCACTCAATTCTCACCCTCCTTCACTGGAGTTTTGTTAGTGTTTCTGTGAAGCTTCTTTCTATCTTCATTTTTCATGCATGAGCAATCAAGTGCTGCTTATTCCCCATTTTACTCTGTTTAACTCATTGTCTTGTCTTAATTTATGGCTCATTTTTTTCATTTTTTGCTCTCCTCCCCTCCCAAAGGTATCCAAGCTCCCCAACCTGCGGTCTCTCAGCCAGCTGCTGCTTTTGGACATCATTGAGTCTCTAGCTACACACATATCAGACAAACAGTGTGCTGAGATGGGCTCCGACATTTAGGATGACGCCGAGAGCCGGGCTCTTTTCTCCTTTCACAGAAGCCATACATCTCTGCTCCACCTACTACTAGTCATTCCCTCTTCCCCAACTCGCAGTACTTTCCTTTATGTTGGACCTCGCATGTCTCGACCCCCTTTTATCCACGCAGTATCAAATCATTCTCGTCTCGCTCTGCATCTCAGTGAGGAGTGAAATCAGTGAAGAAACCACATTCTAGCTCAGTTACAATTGTTAAGTGGTCCAAAAACTCCCTTTTAATGTTCAGTTTGTCCTTTTTTATTTATTTTGATTACACAGACAAAAACTGCAAGGTTTTATCCTGCTCAGTATTGTTGCTGCATTTTTTTAAGATATGCAGTGGACTGTAAGAATTCACACTTGTGACAATATAGAAATGTTCAAGTGTTGCCCTCAGCTGTCTTGTTTTAAGTTACCTGCTCAGATACTTAATTAAAGTAAGTATACTATAAAATTGATTATTTATCTAAATCTGTATTCTACTACTTGTAGTATTCTCATCTCTGACACAGTTAACACGCCTGGATTAAATGTAAGGAATCAAAATCATTGTATGTAAATAATCAGAATGTATGTCTGTCTTGAAGCTATTTGTTTTGTTTAATGTTATTGTCATTGGCACACATCTGTAATTATAATCACCTCTTAACATTACTCACAAACCATGTGTCTTTATCCATATAGCAATGTGTATTTAGTGACATCAGTATGCTGTTATTAAATATTAACCCACATGGGTTTCATGTATTTAAGGCCTTAATAAATCTTATACAAATTTAGTCGTGTTGTAGAGAGTCTCTATCCCCCCCTGCACTCTGAACCGTTGTACCTCTCATGAAGGCTGAACTCAATACCCACAGAAGTATCACATTTTCTTCAAGCTGTCTGTTTCTTTAACTGGCTGTTCTGAGTCAACTACTTTATTATGTTATTACAGTTTTTGCACGACCATCCTTTGGCAGTCATCAATAAGCAGTAAATTATGCCAAACGTTGGGTAAATATTCCTATTAAAGGTGTTTTAACCTAATCACCAGGCTCTGCACTGGGTATCACGCTCTGCCATCATAAATCTAATGGACCCCCTGAATGACAACACATTATCTATCCCTGACCCAACATACCTTTTAAATCCTACTCTCACCAAAGCAAAGAGCAAAAACTCTGCAGCTTGACTCAGCTTTATATCTACATTGCACCTGTTAGGCTAAACTGCAGTTCTGTGGTGAGCCCCGCTGGCTTGACGAGGCAGTCTTATATAAATGCCGTGGCCCTCGCAGTAATCCAGCTGTCATCCCTGCTCTGTGATATTTATGGTAGCTTGGATTAAAACTGTCTCGAATTAAGCAATTTAAAAATATATGTTAAAAATAAGATGCAATTTCTTTCCAAAGTCTTTATAATAACAGTGAAGTAATTCACACATATCTTTACATGGAAAACCAGAACAAATCTGAAACCCTCACTGTAAACTAAAGCCATTGTATACACTGAAAAAAAACCTGAAGGTTAATGTCTTGACCTTTCATCAAATTAGCCACGTCCTTCAGGGGTTTCAGTTTCCACAGATCTGTGGATGATAAGGTCAGACAATGCTCTTTGGTTTGAGACGGTGAATTCCTTCAGCTTCTGTGAGGTTTAGCACTTGCAAAGATTTTAATTTACTCAAGTGAGCTAAACAAAAATGTAATGGGTTGATGCTAAACTAGACTCCTTTAGAGTAGATTTCACTGACTTCAGGTTGTTGTTCCCTGTACAGATTTAGTCTGTCCTCAAAAAAGCATACACGATTACACAGCTGTCCTCTGTTGACTTTACGTTGCTGCCATCACACATGTGTTTTAGATTTCATGTATGTGAAACAAATAGAAGGACGTTTTTTTTTTTTTTTTCAGACTTGTGAACAGATACTGTACAAGACATATACAGTTTTATTTGGTGTAAAGACTGAAAATGCACCTGCACTTATGATACTTATTTACCAGAATCCCTGTGTATGTCTTTTAACGTATCATATTTGTATTTTTAAATGTTTTTTTTATGTATGTGTGTAACTGAATTGCCTATGTGTACTTCTGTTTGCACACTCACTTGCCTTAAATTGCCCCTTGAGGGACGAATAAAGTATTTTGAATTTAATTAAACCCTAAATTACATTAAGTATGATTTGAATAAAATGGAAAGTGTAAGAAAATGTTGCATTTTGGGAATGATTTAGGTGTTTTACTTTAATGATTTGTCAATGGGATTGAGAAAAAAGGTTGACCTAAATGCTGCGGAACTAGATTGAATTCTCTGTAGCTGCCAGTTGCACTGCAAGATCTGTAAAAACCCTCAGTGGAATTCACAAAGTGTTGGACTCTTTTGGGCTCTGTTGTAACCGTCGCAGTGAGCACAAAGTGCTATTCATAGTCCGGATACTTGAGACACTTGGCAAATCGAAAACTCCTCCTTCGAGTGTAAATGTCTTAACTGAAAAAAAAAATCAGTAAAGCAAATAATCTGAAATAATTACAACTTTTAAAAGGTGGACTGAATTTCATAGCCACGCAGAAACAGGCCATTATAGTCATGCCTGGTGTAGCTCTCTAATTCTTCTTTTTTCATGTCCAGCATGCTCATGTTTCATTCATTTAAGTCCACTTGTGCATGCACACAGCCCAGAATCCCACTGGACATATCTGGTTTCATCTAAAAACAGAGTTCATTGTTCACTGCGATGATACTGAACACTGAAACAAACAATATGTCTGTTGTCAGCCTGCTGTCCTGGATTATCTCCCACTTATCAGGTGCATTTTATTAAGGTGGCTGAATGAGAGGGCTGGTTGGTTCTGCTACCTCAGCTGGTGGGACGGGCTACAGAGCCATTCTGGATTTGGTACCTGTGACATAGACCTGCACACTTGAGATACTTGCCACAGCGCAGCAGAAGCAAAAGATGGTTTTTCTCACAACTAAAATCATGCAAAGGACTGCACTCTTTGTGACGTCAGGGGGTTTGATCACGTCTCTCATCACCGCCTTCCTTCCATTTTGGAAGACAATGAACTCTGACCTGAACGAAGTGGAGAACTGGTTCTCTGGGCTGTGGCACACCTGCCTCTACACCGAGGAGGTGGGAATTCAGTGTAAGGCCTACGAGTCCATCCTGGGACTGCCGATGGACCTGCAGATCTCCAGGGTGCTCATGTCAGTGTCTATTGGCACTGGAGGTTTAGCTCTGCTGGCTGCCTTCCCAGGACTGGAGGGGGTTCAGATGTGCATGGGGCGACCTGGACTGAAGAGACAGCTCGTCATCCTCGCCGGGGTGCTATCCTGGGTGTCAGGGCTCACCACCCTGGCTCCTGTCTCTATTGTGGCCTACACAACTCTGGTGGAGTTCTGGGACGAAGGTTTTCCTGATGTGATGCCACGCTGGGAGTACGGAGAGGCAATGTTCTCTGGATGGTTCGGAGGTTTGGCACTGGTCATCGGAGGGACTCTCTTCTTTGTAGCTGTGTGCATGGGGGACTTCGACCAGAGACCACCAAGTGTGCCAAACAGCCCGCAGGTTAAGCACAGGACAAAGCACTACCTGAAGACAGAGGTGTTATAGATTTCTTATTGCGCATTCATGTACTTCATTCGGAGGCCTGTGGGAGATAATGAAATGACTTGTGAAATACTACAGTGGCTCTATTTGTGTGACTGGCATGAATAACATTTCTGACTGAAGAAACATGGAAGCTAAATGGCTGTTTGTGTGTTATTGTTCATTTCTAAGTCAAATTGTTACTGAAAGTACACCTTTCTGCAATCTTCGCTTCTGGTTTATAGAGAGATTGTTTTCACAAACTATTAAAAGTAATGTGAGATAATAAGCAGCTGCACTAGTTTTTATTCCTGTAAAGTCTACAGAGGATAAGGCATTATTTACCAGTAAGCATGCACCTAGTGCACTCTTAAAACGTTTCTTACAATAAGAGTAGACCTTGACTGAATAATAATAACTTAAAAATAACCTCTTGATTTTAGTTAAAACTTTGAATTTGACATCTACAGTGGTACAATGTCATGTGTCATATGTGTGATTATCAGGAAATCCCAAATTGATGGGACTTTTAATTTAAGCGCACACTAGGCAAAAAACAAAGTTACTACTGTTTTCTGATGCTTTGAAAAGTCTGTGCCACATCAGTGATGCTTGAAAAACGTGCTTCAGATGAGAAACAGAAAATTCTGTTATTTCTAACTCTTTTCAGTATGCAAGCATACTTGTGATTTAGATTTGTTTGTTATGATTTCTTGTAGTTTGAGTTCTTGAGTTCTTGAGTTTATTTTGAAGATTCAAATTTGAATAAACTCATTGCAGCTTCTAAATAATTGTGCTGGTTGAAGAAAGCAACATCATATATACCAAATGTAGTTCAAAATGCAGCAAAAACAACAGTAACCTAAATTGGAAGTCCTTCATAAATATACATACATACATAAAGATGTAGTACACTAATCAAATAGCTGCTCTCCAGCCCCATGCACAGGTCAGTACTGTACTAATATGAACCCTGATCTATATGAACAAGCATTAAAACATCCAACATTAATGGTACACAGGGTCTCTGAGCCCACTTCCAGGGCAGGAGTTGCATTCCAGTGCTGCAGCTCCTCTGTGTTAAATTTCGTTTCGGGGAGGGACTTGGCACCACCAGCTCCTCTCAGTCCTAAATACACTATTTGGCTTTGGTTTACTGCTGTACATTGTGATGATTAGGACTGATTTGGGGCATTTCTTTTGTCAGTTTCTTGGATGTCACAACAATTAATGAAATGATACAGAATAAATTACTGAGATCAGTTAGCATCATATCTAGCTGTGCCTAGATTGTGTTTAAAATGCCCATTTACCAAACCGACACTGTTAAGATCTAATTAACCCTCAGGTTGAATCTAACCTGATAACAACTGACATTAATATTTTGGCAGACTATAATTTGATAGTTTAGCCAATGAATGATTCATTCACTTCTCTCGCCTCCTTTCAGTCTGGGTTTTTGGATGCTGCAGCTCTCCCAGGCCCCTGCAGAAGAGAGTCCCCCTCTTGTAGTTCAATTAAACTGAGTGATGTATCAGTGATGTAAGGCAGGCCCTCCCCACTCCCTGCGAGAACCTGATCAGTCATCCTGTTGTACATGTGCACAACCGCCCACCCCTGGCTTCCACTCAAACATGCTTTTACATGTGCTTGAACACACGCAGAGAGCAACACAAACACACTGACACTGGAGCACATGTGCACGTGTCAGCTGTCAGCACGCTGCAGGAAAACAGTGGAAAATCTCTTTCATCTGATAAATCTCATTTTGTATTTGCACACATTCTGAAAACAAGGGCAGCTAATGCTTCATCCTCACCCTGTGTCAGTGCTGCCATCATTTCAATTGAAATGAATCTGAGATTATCGGGTAAATGACCTTGTCCCAGCAGTTATTTAAAGGGGGAGGCACAGTTCCTCCCACAGTGGGAGCATAAGGAATGGAAATATCTTGGGAGCTCATTTCTATAAGACTCGGTATAGGCTACCTTTTTAATCCTGCACCCCCCACCCTCTAACTGAAACTGGGATTTACTGCACCAACTGCATTTTCCTTCTTTCTCCCTCTGCTGCACACACTGAAAGAAGTCGAGCACACACACACACACACACACACACACACACACACACACACACACACACACACACACACACACACACACACACACACACACACTGTAAGAGCTGTTTTAGTGTTTATAGCGTGCAGCTGTCTGAAAAGTAGTTTTTTTATGTCTCCTGGTGGTCAGTATAAATACAATAAATGTCACACTGGTAAGTTTTAACAATAGCTGATACTCCTGCAGCACCACAGGCATGCAGCACAATGCATGCACAGTATGGAGGCAGTGTGGTAACTGGGCAGTCAGACCAGGCAGTGCAGTGGGGAGGGCAGCAAGTGTTTGATCAGGCTTAACTGGCAAGTCAGGTCTTTGACATCTGAAGGAGGTGAGGTTGAAAGGGTCTGAACAGAAAAGCAAGCAGCCTCTAGGAGAGAGAGAGAGAGAGAGAGAGAGAGAGAGAGAGAGAGAGAGAGAGAGAGAGAGAGGTGTGTGTGTGTGTGTGTGTGTGTGTGTGTGTGTGTGTGTGTGTTTGGGAAAGGAGGGGTGGGAGGACGAGAGCAGGGAACGGTGAGGATTCATGCTGTGTTAGCATCCCCTCAGCAACTCCATCAATACTGCATACAGCTGAGAAACTGGCAAAGGTCCTCCGTGCTGCATTTGCAGGCTCGGCCAGGGAAAGAGAGCAACTCCCACGACCGGTCGGCTCAGTCTGCTGCTTGAGGGGCGCTCTGCAAGGGGCAGAGCACACACACACACACACACACACACACACACACACACACACACACACACACACACACACACACACATACACACACATTCATACACTCACACACTCATACACACTCACTAGAGCCTCTGCTGCATCAAGAGGCAGAAGAGGAGAGCGGAGGAGGGTACAGAGGGAAACACAGACTGGGAATACTCCAGTGGAGAGAGCCAATCCCGGAGAGGGACAGGATTGTTGAGGAGACTCATGTGCTAATATGCTTCCGTGCTCCGCAGGGGAAGCTGAGCACCAGGGAGTTTGACAGGATCTCAGTGCACCTGCTCCATGCACACTGGTAAGCTGATTTACTCTTTTTACAGTCAGAGAAACATAGCTCTGTTTTATTAGCTCCTAATATGAAGTGTGTATGTGATGCTCTGTGGATTCTGCTTGTATTTGTACACTATGGGCTCATAGAGTACTTGTGCAAGTTGGTGGCTCTCTGGTCCGGGGACTCAGATACCAGATCTTCCCTGTAGAACTATGTACTGTGGTGCAGTATATAAAACTGAAATCACAACATCAGAAATGCTACAGTACATAGTAAATGGATCAGTTCTCCTACACACATGTAAAATTAAAGCAGATCAAACACTCATCTACAGGGCTGATTGAGTTTTTAATAGTTGGTTATCAGTAACTCACACAGTACATCTCACAGTTTGTTTCTATTGGTCTGATTGCTACTTGTGTGTGTGTGTGTGTGTGTGTGTGTGTGTGTGTGTGTGTGTGTGTGTCTGTGTACATGCTGAGACACTGGTCAATAGCAGAATTGTTATATGGAAGCACAGCTCCTCTGTGGGGGTGTACACCCATTCTGAAAACCACAATTCTAGTTTTCCATGACATCATGGAGAGGTTATTGCTCAAAGCAGCAGCAAAATGACCTGATAAAAAGTTGGTGGTGCCATTGTTAACCAGCTTGATCTTTTTCAGAAGAATATTAATATACAGAATGTAAAGTTTGGGTCAACTTTTTAAGAGGAGAAAATGGAGTAATGCAAGATTTTTCTCCTTTGGGCACCACATTGATCAATGCTGAATGAGGGTAATCTCTGTTTTCTATAGCCACGTGGCATCTTTGTATTACCTTAAACATTAAAGGTTTGTTTTTGAATTCCATTATAAGCTCAACTATCTGATCTCTGTTAATGGTAAAAACATGGGTCAGACCTTAGACATTATGTTCCATCCTTTTTCAGGTTATACATACACGATATGCACACTTTAGATACTGTTTGGCACTTCATGAAGCTCTCCTGATCTGGTCTGTAACATGGTAATAATTTATCTACAAGCAAACAATATAAACATTGTACAAACTTGGTCAAGAACGGTGTGAATGAAGTTGCTCACAATGTCTGATTGTGTCACATATACTAGAGCTTCTTAATGGGGATTGTGGTTAACTGTAATCCTCTCTTTATTCTTTTGTAGTTAAGACACGTAGGCAATGGAGTAAACAGAAGTCAGGCAAAAGCTTCTTGGCATTCTGGGGGACATCCTGTTGACGAAGAGGCATAAATCTAACATCTACCTGAAGTACTCAGCCCTTGCTTGTGAAAAAAATCAAAATAAGCCATGAAGAAATGCTATAAAGATCAAAGATTAAAAACAATTTCACCCTCTTGTCCCTCACATCAAATGCTTCCTTAAGCTGACAGTAAACAGAAGAGATAACCTCTAACAGCCTGGTGAGAGAGTACTTTTGCTCAACAGTTGGTTAACGCAATCTCGGGCTTATCTTGTTATTTCACAAACCAGGAGAACGTGCAAACTTGTGAGTGAAGGAAAGAGGTGTGGTCAGATATTTAGAGTGCAGTCAGATTGTTGTGAGCTCTTGACCTTTATCAGCTGAGGATCAGAGAGCCCTAATCGTTAACTACAGGCTAACATACCTGCCAAGCAAGTGTGTGAATAAAACAGAGACCACCAGTTTGGATTGCTGGAGGTGAATGAGCCACTGAACCAGCAGCTCTTCTTTTATTCATGTGTTGCTGAAGGTCCAGGGCCAAGGAAGTGCTGTAGAGTGACATGTAATTAAAAGTTTTTTCTACATATAGATGTTTACAGCATACGTTCCTCTGCTGCGGATGTTTATTGGTGAGGATGAGCTTTATTACTCACTTATGTCCCTTTTTGATTAGTGCCCTCGGCGTGTTCATCTTGGTAGCTCAATAACATCACTATTTGCTGTTGGTAGAATACGTTTTGAATGATGGATGTGACCGTCCGAGCGCGGGCACTTTGGTGCTCAACATTCCTGCTTCTTTTTTTTCCACTCACAGTCAGTTTATAGATGGGCCTCCTCCACCACCAACTAGGAGCTGCGTTTTTTTGCTAATTCTCCCCTCTGACATTCCAGTAACAGGTATTACATTTGTAGGGAAGTGAGTGAAACTGACAGCTTGTTTGCAGGCAGGATTATTAGCACTGCTTGGGGACAGGCCCAACAGTGAGAGAGCGGGATCTGCGTCATATGTTGTGAGGACCAAATCTGCTTAACCTACTTTAGTTTTGCACAAAATATCTTGGGCTTGCTGGAACTCCATGATGGCAGCTCTTTGCGATCCAATTTGTTGTTCATCAAAATTTCAGTAGTGGCAAATTATTAAAGGGGCAACATGTGAGAGAGAAGGCTGTAGAGAAGCTTATCATCATATCAATGTTTTTTAATCTGGAAAGTAACAATTTGTCAAATAAATGTTAAACTCTTGAATGTTTTACTCTGAAATGTAGTGGAATAGAAGTATAAAATAGCATAACCTTAATATATTCAGGTAAAGTACCTACTTAAGTACAGTATTTGAGTAAATTTACTTAGTTACTTTCACCCACTGCAATCAAACACAACACATAGTTAAGCTACAAGAGCTCGATCCCAGCTGCAGAGTTGCGGCCAGTCAGAGGAGATCTTTCCATTTCTCATTTGCTCTCAGGAACTTTTTCTAAGCAGTGCTCCATTCAACACTGGACACTTTTTTTTCTTAAGTTCAAGGACATTAAGATGTGCTCAGAATATCAAGCAGTCCTTTTGGTTGTACCTCAAAAGGATAATTTGGTGATGGATTGCACCATGTTGGGTGATACACATACACCTGCCATGCCGTGTCTTGCTCAGATACACATACACCTGCCATGCCGTGTCTTGCTCAGATTCATAGCAGCCAGTGAGTCTGTAAGCGACTAACTACTGTATGTGTGTGTGTGAAATACCAGAGCTGGCAGAAATGTGAGGGCAACGTGGCAACAAAAAACAAGGGGGATTTTGAAACTCAAGGGGCCCCTGCTTCCCTTTAAAGCGCAGTGTGACGAGAAAGTTAATAGGTGTCGGAGTGCTGTTAATATTTAACAGTTTCCATGCAATATGCATGAACAAAGGTAACAATGTCTGTGGAAATGTTCCTAATTAACACAATTGCTTCCTTTTGACAAGGACTAACATGTTATATAGACACACACACACAAACACAGAAATAATCTGGCTAGCTTTCCTTGGCACTCTAATCCTGACTCCTTCAGACACTTCAGAGCAACGTCAGCCACTTTTTGTGATAAATAACACAAACGCAGTCAGTGACTTTGACTGATTAGAAGACCCAGGACCATAAGAAATGGAGGCCAACTGTTTTGTTAATTTGAAAGGCAACTATGTGACTGAAAAATTTGAAATTGAAAGCAGCCAGAAAGCAGCTAATTCTTTAAAAATGTCTCCCCAGTGCATCTTTAAACCCGCCTGAGCAACAATAAACAAGCCATATTGTAAGAGAGGAAAAAAGCCTGTTACATCTTATAAAACCTCTTATATCATGTCGGCAGAATATCAGACTTTACACTTATGTAACTCATGACATAGACATAGTGTCTGTTGTGTGTGTTGTTAACTATATTGCTGCCTCCGTCTGTGCAGATTATGTGGAGGAGCTGACGTGTGCGATGGCCAAGCTGGACCTGCAGGTTCTCAAACACACAGTTCTGTGTTATCATTACCTCCCAACCAAGCGGTCCAGCCCGAGGATCTGACCGGCAACTCCCTCACCTCCCTCTCCCCCCTCCCTCCCTCTCTCCCTGGGTGTCCCTCAATTCTGGGCCCATCATGGGAGGATGCTTCTCCAAACCCAAACCAGGTAACCACCATGTTTCCTTATTTCAGTCAGGTGTCAGTTTAGTATGAAAGAAAACACAGACAAGCACAATAACAGCTCTTGTGCAGGTGAGGAAAAACAGGTGTTTTTAGAGTAATCTCACCTACAGGAGGAGGACAAAATAACAGGAACATCTTGTTATTATAATTATTGGTGAAATTGAGTAAAAAATGTGTTGAAACACCTCTATGCTAATAAGTTTGTGCTGTGTTTGCATAACATTGTAAGGTGTTGTTGTAGTTTCTATCCTGCTTTTAGTATTTCCAGTAGGGCCAGTATTAATAAGGATATTTCTTCTTATCGAGAAAGTTAATAAAACACCATAATTTAACTGATGTTCAAAGCTGCATTACATGTGATGGAACTCTTCATATTTATAGCACAAGAAGCTCTATTGACTTTATTTTGCTATTCTTGCTCAGGATCAATTATTTGGACAAGAGACATTTGTAAAACAAAAACATGATAACATCATATCATGACATTATTATTCTACTCCTACTAAATTAGGAGGATCTGTTGGCAGAAATGTAATATAATATGCATAGTTATGTTTTCATTAGTGTATAATCACCCAAATATGAGAATCATTGTGTTTTTGTTACCTTACAATGAGCCTTTTTTATCAGGAGTCCGCCATGATGAGCCACCAGTTTCTACTTCAAAGAAAGGTTTCATAACATGACAGTCCATTTAATAGCTATAAACATGACATTATATAGTGATAATATAAAAATCAATTGATTCCAATTTAAATATTTTGTTGTTAATACAGGGAAGACACTCTACGTAGATACCTATATGTATATCTTCTATGTATTTTTTGTGTTTAAAAATGAACAGACTGGGTTTTTTAAAATATATTTAAGGACAGTTTGTTCAGTCAGGATCATTTTCGAAGCTACCTACAGCCTCCAAATCCTGTTATACATGTCCTCTCATATCCAGCCTCCTCGGTTTTCACTATACTGTTTTATGTGGGAGGAATTTTAATGCTCTCTGTGGCATCTTTGGTCAAGAGGATTACATACTGACACATGAATATCCCAATATGACACTGTGTGTGTGTGTGTGTGTGTGTGTGTGTGTGTGTGTGTGTGTGTGTGTGTGTGCGTGTATATCCATATCGGTGTTAGCATGGCAAGGCGATTAGCTATGAGACTCATTTGCAGCTTTGACATGAAATCATCTGTGCAATACTTCATGCGGAGGTGAAGTGAGGAGGATGAGGGTCTAGTTGTCTGTTGACTGAACGGAAACTGTCGGGCCTCTGAGGACTAATTAGTCAGTGTCTATCACCGTGTGACCTCCAGCTATCAATCGATGACAACTCAAACTTAACAGGAATATCTATTAACATTGTCTTTTACACAGAGGGAAAGGTTTTACACGGATCATTATGATATTTTATTCACATAAGGAATCTTGTGTGGTCGAAAATTCACTGAGGAGACAGTGAAGGCTTGTTTACCCTCACAAGAATCACAGTTTTTCTGTGTTTGACCATCATTTCTAGAGGAGCGGCTATCAACAGAACTTCACTTAACTAATTAGAAAATAAAGCAAGTCTTTTATAAAAAGCTAACTGTAATAAATCTGTCCTTATTTTTTTGTGGCTTATGATTATTTGGCACTTTAGTTGTATCCAAGTTAGAGTTTATAGTATGTTTTGAGTAGATATTGGTTCAGTTCAGTTGAGTCATTTTATTATCCCAGATGGGAAACTTGATTTGCAGTCACGGACACAAACATAAAAAAAACAAAAACAACACAAGGTACAGACAAAAACAAAAAGGAACAAAAACACAAAAAATGATTCCTGTACATACATGATTCAAGACTCAGAAGACTCAGGGGATTCAGCTCAGACATGTGTTTAATATGAATATCCTCATCATTAAAGTATCAAAAGAAAACAGAGATCTGCACTGGTATTACGGTATGGCATTACGCCATCTGAATACACAGTAAATAAACAGATATATACATTAAAGTGTAAATGGGAGTAAACTTGTAGACAGGACACACTGTTCTCTTCATTTGCACATGAACAAATTATACATAAGGATCTAATCACCCTGTAGTCCATCGCAACTAAATAAAATGTCTGCGTTAAAGCTCTAAACACTGATAAGATCAACATAAAAAGCATTACAGAAGATAATTTGGCACGCGTTCGAAACCAGATAACTTTTAAGCGCTGATCAAATGAAGCATCAGTGTGGTGATTTAGCAGCAGACATCCAGAGATTCTCTTCAGCTGTGGAAAGCTTTCTCTTTCTTTTCTCCTGCGATTGCACTCACTATTATGATTTTCCATTGATTTTAATTAAGACTTGCTCAGCAGGAGAAAATTCCAGCCAGATTACTGTGTAAGAACCGGATGATCAGCACATTTTTCCAGCCGAACAGATAAAGCCTGCTGCAGTGAAAAAAGGAGTTACACAACCATTTCTTAATGTTCAGAAATATAAACCCAACAGCAGCGCATCACGTCATCAAACAAAACTGAATGTCTCCCAAAAGACAGATAAATATACTCCACTAGTCTGTTTTCTTCTTTAGGAAAGCAGACAATGTGCACAAACACTGCTGGTTTAGGCTGTACTTGAATGGAGTTTTTGCTGCCTTTATGTCAGTTTCACTTATGGAAATCTCATTATTTAAGGCATTGTAAGTTAATTTAGATAAAGGCAGATTGAGACGTATGGAGAGTAGTGAGTGATTTGTTTTAAATTTAGTAGTAACATGTTGAGCTGCCTGTCTTTCTTGTGGACTTTCCATATATCTGGTATGATTGGCACTGCTCTGCATAGGAAGGTTTTGGTGCTTTGTAAGACTGAATTTCAAGTGAAGTGTGTTATTAATATTATCTTGAAAATCTGGATTTATATTGTATGTTGATAGATTCCAAAGCAGGTGGGAAGGATGGTAATAAAATACCAGAGGTAAACAGGAAAGGTATACATGGAATAATAGCTCAGTCCACTGGTGATTGGTAGCATTAATAATCTGCCAATATTACTTTGTAGAGATTTGTATTTGAAAGCTTTACAACATCCTTTTACTGCTATATGTGATTGTGTTCAGTCGTACATTTTCTAAGTGAGATGTGTTTTGTGTTGTGCAGTTGAAGTTAAAGTGGAACTCTCTCTCCTGGAAAAAGAAAAAGAGATGGACGGGCTGTCACCGAATGGCAAAGCGAGCCCCTTTGGTGACTGCAGACCTAACGGGGCCCTGGGACACGGCTCTGATGACGACTCCACACCGCTCCCCCTCTACCACAAACCACGGGACTATGTGGAGGCCTCCGTCTGTCACGTTAAAGATCTGGAAAACGGACAGTAAGAGAATATGACATGCATTGAAACACACATGCTCATTAGTCCTAGTTAGTTAGTCTTAAAGGGAGAGTTCACACAAAAACACAATAAAACAAATGTTTCCTTCATTGGCCCATCAGAGAAGCATCATCAGTGAATGTTGGCTAATTATTAAGACATTGCAGTACAGAAATACTAAAAACTAAAGCCTACTGTAACAGTAGCACAGGTAGAAAAGAGTCATAAAGTCACTGAACTCGCTCAGAAATGTTAGTTACACAGCAACATCAATCTAAAGTTTGCTTTAGATTGACCAGACCAGACCAAGTGAGGTTGTAGCAGCAAAACCCCCGAGTGCACTGAACTGAGCAAGAGTGAGTTTTATTGTTAATGAAATCAACTTTTAATTTGTAAGAGGAAGATTGTGTCTCATCTTTTATAGTCTTTTTACTACTTTTACTACTACTATAATAACAATATTTTTATTGGGGTTTTTAATTACAACAATCATTACATATTAATAAAATGGTCAGACATGGCTGCAGATATATAATCAAATGAAAAGGTAAGTATATAAAGCAGTAATTAAAACGTGTAGAAATCAGTACATTACATGGATAATTACACTTTTTAATCTTATTCCAGTTGCCCCGCCCCCACCCAGTCCTTAGCTGTATTGATTATTACCAATATTTTGTTTCAAAAACTCCCGTCTTTCCTTTAGTAATGTAGTTTGATTTTAAGTGACGATATGATGACAGATTCATACTTGTTTTGTTGACATTTTTCCATCCTGTAGCAAAGTTTATTAATCCACACTCACTCTTCTTAGCAATAAAATCATTTGGATAAATAATAATTACTTTGACAAACAAGGGATTTTCAGTTTTGTTATCTGGATAAAAATTACATAGTCCTGTTTTAATGGTCACTAATAAGCATGATTACTTGGATTATTGTCATTTAAGTGTTTTTGTGTGAGCTGATCCTTTAATTTATTCGGCTCATGTTGCTAGCAGAATGTAGCTTAGACACAAAGACATAAATTACAGAAGCTGAGCCTAGTGTGTCCTTGCTGCATTGTGAAAATGAAATTTTTCTTCCAGGATGTTTTTCACCTGTAAGAATGGCCTTTTGTGTGTTTCCTCGATGGATTCAATCATAAAGCAGCTATGAATGCACGCACACCTTTTTGTTGTTTTGTGTTTGACAGGATGCGAGAGGTTGACCTGGGAAGCGGCAGAGCTTTGTTGATCAAAGAACACGGGGAGTTCTCAGCCATGGGCCACAAGTGTCCACACTACGGGGCACCTCTGGTCAAAGGTGAGTCATGTATTTTCAGGTATTATTAACATTCTTAATAATATGTAATATCATACACTTGACGTCATTTCCTGTCATTTGCAGGTGTGTTGTCAAAAGGACACGTGCGCTGTCCCTGGCACGGCGCGTGTTTCAACATTGCAACAGGAGACATCGAGGACTTCCCTGGGCTGGACAGCCTGCCTACCTTCCAGGTGACCTTCCCCGCTGGTGCTGTCTCTTAACACATTCCCTGCCTTATCATGTCTCTAAGCACCATCAAAAAGTGTACACATCGCTCATGTCTGTTTGCTCCAGGTCAGAGTTGAAAAGGACAAGGTGATCATTCGTGCAAACAAGCAGGTAACAAGAAAAAGAATGTGGATAATTTATGCAGGAAACTAAACGGACCACCTGACTGATCTGAGATCCTTTTTTTTTTAAACATTTCCAGGCTCTTCAGTCACAGAAAAGGTCAAAGCCCATGGCCCGTTGCTCAGCAGTCATTAACTCCAGCACGGGCTTCAGCCATGTTCTCATCATTGGCTCAGGTCTGTGTGTTTTTGTCCCTCCTTCTTCATTTCCCACTTCTCAAACAACAAGGATCCAGTTATATTTGATTGATTTCTCAGGGATCTTCCTTCATTTTTATCGTCTAACGTCTCTGCAGGTCCAGCAGGTCTTGTGTGTGCAGAGACGCTGAGGCAGGAGGGCTTCACCGATCGCATCGTCATGTGCACCATGGACAGACATCCTCCATATGACAGGCCTAAACTGAGTAAGGTTTGTACACAGACCCTGACCACTAGAACTGGCTTTGCCAAGAAGGTTACATAACATACTGCAGAGGTGCAGCTTTGGTCAGTGGTGCTAAAACAGGAGCTCTCTTGGGAACAGCTGCACTTTACAGCAACAAAGAACTTTTGCAAGTAAAGAGACATAACTCAGTCTGAAAGGACATGACTTTCCATTGCCATTAAAGCTTGAAGAACATTAGGTCTATTATTAATTGGCTTACAGCTGTCCAAACTCTTGCTTTTGAAAAGTTTGGTATTTTTACTCTGATGCACTAACTTGCTGACCCTTAGTCCTTAGAGAGCACAGCAGAGCAGCTGAGATTGCGCTCTATGGACTTCCTGCAGGACCATGATATTGAACTGCTCACAGAGAAAGAGGTGAGAGATTCTGACCTCAGAATCTGAAGTGAATTCTGATTTAATAATGGCTAATAATAAATCAATGAATTAATTGGATCTGTCTTTGGCAATTTCCACAAAAATCCAACACATCAACCTGTGCGATGTTTGCTTTAGGCAGTGGCAATAGATGTGAAAACACGATCTGTCACCTTCGAAGATGGCTTGAGGATGGAGTACAGGAAACTCTTTATTGCTACAGGAAGCAAGTGAGGAAAATCTTTTATCACAGTGGATAATTAAGCAGCTGAGATTAGAAATTAATAAAACTGACATCTAATTGCTTCTATTTTCTGTTTGAAAGACCCAGACCAATGAACTACAAAGGCAAAGACGTCAGGAATGTGTTTCACCTCCGGACGCCAGAGGATGCTAACAGCGTTGCGAGGCTGGCCAACAACAAGAACGCTGTGATTGTGGGAACATCGTTTGTTGGTGAGAACACATTTATAAACAAATACTTCTCATTTATAAGAAATTAAGGGAAAAAAACACAAGTGAACTAGTAAAGTACAGGTGGTACTGGTGGAATTGGACTGTACTTTTTCTTTTCTTCTCATTTACTTCTGCTACAATTCAGAGGGGAATATTGTGCTTTTTACTCACTTTAATTATTTGACAGCTTTAAATGTACAAGCACAGCTAAAATGATTAGTCAATTAATTGATTGACAGAAAATTAATAGGCAACTATTTTGATGCAAAAACATTTTGTGGTTCCAGCTTCTCAAATGTAAAAGATTAGCTGCTTTTCCTTTTAATGATTTTAATAATTTTGAGGTTTGGATTACTGGTTGTGCAAAACAAGCATTATGAAGGAGTCACTTTGGATTGTGAGTATTTGTGGCGGCATTTATCTGAATTTTCGACAATCAATCGATGGAGAAAACAGCAGATTGATTGATTAGTTGCAGTCCTATACAAAATACTTCAAAATTAGTCAAATCCTTCCTTTATATTAATGAATAAGTACAAATAACCTGATATTTTACATAGTAGTGATATAGAGTATAACAGTCACAGGGGATATTTTTCTGCATTGAGTACTTTTACTTTTTACACTTTAAGTAGGCTACATTTTCCTGAGTATACTTACATATATTTACTTATGTAACATTTTCAATGCAAGACTTTTACTTGTGACAAATTATTTACAGTGTAGTTTCAGTACTGTTACTTAATCTGGATACTTCCAGGGTCCAAGTGTTAGACCACCACAAGCTTCCAGAACAACTTCAGTATGTCTTGACAATGACGCTATAAATTGCTTAAACTCTGTGTTTTGATAAAAGTGTTGGAAAGTGCTGTCAAACACATTGGTCCTTTGTTGAATGTGAAGAGTAAAACAAGTGACTTACTCTGACTTACAGCAATGAGTAACCTTTAAGAACAACTCTCAAGTGATCACATGATTAAAAACATGTATTACCAGCCAATCAGAGAGAAGGACTTACCCTACATCTGCTGCATTACTTTAAAAAATCCTTACATTTTACTTTAGTGAGATGTAAAAACATGTAATTTACATTTTTATTTGTGTGCAATCCTTCATATATCCAGTGGTTATTAACATGTGAAACTAACAACAATCCAATATAGCGTATTTAGAATGTATCAATATATAGATCGAGATGACGTGCAAAGATATTGGCTGAAATTATTTGAGAAATAATTTTGTACAGTCACTCCAAAGTGTGTTTTAAAAGGTGTGTGCTCACCTGTTTCTGTATTTTATTATTTTTAAGTTTGCAAATAGGAGTAAAAGTGACAGATTTTTACTTTTAACTTAACAATAACTCATCATTTTCACCCCTCAGGCCCTGTACGGAAGAATCTGCATCTGTTATGTTTCTCCACCCATTTATCAGTTGTTTTTCTTTCATTTGTCACCTGCCTGTATCATTTGGCATTAACTATGACATATATTGACTATATGCTGTTTATTTGTTGTGTTGGCAGGCATGGAGGTGGCTGCAGCTCTAACTGACAAGGCCCACTCGGTCTCTGTCATCGGGATTGAGACAGTCCCCTTTAAAAAAGCTCTCGGGGAGAAAGTAGGGAAAGCCATAATGAAGGTAGGGACACACTCCGGGGAAATCAAGCTTTTCAGAACACGAAGCACCTACGCAATACTATCCTCATCACTCTCCATGGCAAGGAAGCTACTGGTTAAAATGCAAATGACGTTTTTGTGGTCAATACCCAGTAACCACAAGAGAGAATGGTTTCCTCTCATTAGCAAGCTCACATATGAAAATGTTTTCAACTGGTTTCTGCGGCGTGTTTTGTCTTTGCAGCTATTTGAGGCAAACAGGGTGAAGTTCTACATGCTGAACGAGGTGTCAGAGATGATTGGCCATCATGGACAGGTATTCAGAAAGTGAGAGAAACAGCATGACATGATGCTCAGCAGCACTATCCTCTCTTGTTTAATCCATGCTGGAGACAAGTCAGATCAGAAACAGAGGATATCGACCAAAGTGTGTCAACTTTAAAGCCCCTGAAAATGAAAATAAACGACTAAATGAGAAACTAAACATAAATCAGCCGGAGTCTGTGGTTTGATCAGATTTGACTGACAGTGCTGGCAACAGATAGAAACTCTCTGTTTGAAATAACTTTCTATTACTATAAAGTGCTATAGACACTCTATATTAGACACTCTATACACTATAATGTATATCTAATACATGGCATAGACAATTTGTTTTCCTGTTACACAGCTGAAAGAGGTGGTGCTGAAAAGCGGAAAAGTCCTGCGGGCAGACGTGTGTGTCATTGGAGCAGGTAATGTCAAATCTGCTTTCATTACTTTCTGTCTGTGTCCAATATTCAAATACACAAAATGAACACAATTATACCGCATGCAAAAAAAACCTGCATGTGATTAGCATGAAGTGGGCGTCTCTGCAAAGGGGAGACTTGTGAGTACGCATAGAAACACTTTTCATTCAGATATCTAGCGGTCAGAGGTCATGGGACCCCTCTCCAAATGGCAGTGTCAGTTTAAAAATTCCCAGCATGACTGGCATGGTTGGTAAAAATGAATACGTTCGGTCATCTAGTTTTATATGAAATCAGTATCTTCACTTCACAAAGCCTGCTACAGCCTCTGAAGACAGTGTGGAGTGGAGGATAATGGGATGGTCAATCAGATTTCTCTGGAAACGCCGCTGTCAGTGTCATTATAATCACAGCAGCTGAAGAAACTCCTTGGATTTTTTTCCCAAATCTGTTTATTTGGATTTTACAAAATGATTATATCACAATAAATGCTTGCAACATGTTAAATAAATCCCCACCTCCTCCCACACCACCCATATCACCTTCAGGTGTACAGGAAGTATGATAAAATAGGGACAACAATGTAAAAAAGATACAAATAAGAATACTAATATCACACAAGTGATAATGACAATAATAAACCACCAGAAGCACAACTACACTTATTAAACCTAATAAAATACTAGGTTTGATGATAAAGAACATATCGGACAGACACAATGAGCTACTGCATTGGAAAATAATAATAAAACCAAGGTGTCACAGCTCAGGAAATGCAGGAATGGACTCAAATGTACACAACGCAGGCACCAGGATGACTTCAGTGGTTTATTGGAAGAAAAATAGCTTGAGACAGGTATTGGTAACAGGCAGGCAGGTAAACAGGTAACTGGTAGACAGGTAACTGGTAGACAGGTAAGAGGTAAGTGGACAGGTTTGGGTGACAGAAACTCACACACTACTTACACTGGTGAGGTAAAGGATAATCAGGGTGGGGCGGACAATCAAAACTGGAGGGAAACTAACAAAGATAGGAAGTGAGGTTAAACAAGAACTCTTTCAACATTAAACAGATTACTTAACTAAAACCAAAAACCATGACACAAGGTGAAAAAACTGACGTATTATGCACTCATATATACCCTTTTAATGACTTTTGAAATGCGTGCCCCTTTCCTGCAGGAAGTGTTCCTGCAACAGGATTCCTCAAACAAAGCGGCATCCACATGGACTCCAAGGGCTTCATCACTGTCAACAAGGTATTTTAAAAAGCCTGCAGCCTGAGTGAAAGGGTTTTCTTAAGTTGTTTAATTAATTTAATGCTCTAAACTTTCTCCCAGATGATGCAGACAAATGCTGATGGCGTCTTTGCTGGAGGAGATATGGTGATCTTTCCTTTCCCGCCACGCAACAACAAGAAGGTGAACATCCCTCACTGGCAAATGGCTCATGTACACGGTGAGTGTGACACAGCTTAGATATTACGTAATGGAGCTGTTATGAGCCCAAGAAAGGGGTCTGCAACCTTTCCAGTGGCTCCCTGTGGCTTTGACAAAAAGTATATGGAAATTAATAACTCCAATTGTAAAAATTTGTAGCGGATACACAAATAAAACAAATGTTTCTGCATTTTGTTCACTAAAATGTGTGTCGATACTGAACTGGCCACATATCCGACAAAGGCTTTTGAGCGCCCAAGTTGAAAAGCCTGAGCCTGAAGACGTCACCCATCAGAAGGACCTTCTCGCTGAAAACCTCAAATGTTATTAAAAACCTCTCAAAACCCAGACAAATATGTGTTTCAAACATGGAATTTTTGTGGGTAATGGGAATACAAATACCAGTCACTAGTTTTCTTAATTGTTGTAGTTATATGATTCCATATCAACAAAACATGTTAGAATTGTGATAGAAATAGAAAGTTAACAAATAATCATAAACTGCAGAGTACCCACCTCATTTAGACCTATTAGTCATGTTGATGGGCTAATTTAGACTTAATAGGCTGTATTATAAGGCTCAAATATGTTTTATGGATCCAGATTGATTATTTTTATTATTATTATTATTATTTGGCCAAAAGACAAGCACCTAAATGTCTTTTCAACCTTACTGACAGGAAGGGTGGCAGCTCTCAGCATGATGGGCAGAGCCACTGAGATCAAAACTGTGCCTTACTTCTGGTCAGCCATGTTTGGGAAGACCATACGCTATGCAGGTAGGTACAAGGCCTTCCATCTCTCTTTAGTTTAAAGCAGTGGGGGATAAAGGGGTACATTTATGTGGGACACTGGGTAGTCTAAAATGTTGATGTAATTCCCTTCCCTGCTTTGTTCACAGCCACTGGATTGAAAAACTGATTTTAGAAAAGCATCTGTCCTGCAGTGATTTGACTTTTGATAACTAGAACCAATCAAAATGTGGGACATTGTCACAATATGCCGGACAAGAGATGAAAATGCTGTGCAGTCCCACATAAAGTGGCACACCTGGTCACTCTAGTCACAAAACAGCTGCCTTTTTTGGCCCTTGATTCCCCTCCCTGAGACCCACGTCTTAATGTCACAAATATAATATAATCCACCTACAAGATTATTAGGTTATTTGTTTAATATTAAATTTAACTATGGCTTCATATACAATTAAAATTAAAACGCAATTATATTTAATAAGGTGCCGGCAAAGCAGAAAATAAGAAGAGATTAGGTTTATATAAAACAATGACATAAAAATGTATGTATGTGTGTTCGTTGTGGAGATATTTTAAGAATATTGTGCTTTTTTGTCATACTTGAACGTTGTAAAAGTGCCCCTCTTATAATATGACAATACCAGCAGTGTCCCCGAACCAGACCTCTGGTTTAAAGGGCATTTGCTTTATTTTATCAGTGTTATGAGGCAGACATGCTGTCAGAGGAAGATTAGAGGTTGTCAAGTGTAGTTACTACACTGCCATCTAGCTGTGAGAATAAAGACCAAAGACTAAGAGCTGAGCCTGAATTGGACCAGTTTTCTTCTTGCTGTTGACAAATACATACGTATACTTTTATCATTTTCTACATGTGAAAGGTTATGGTGATGGATTCGATGATGTCATTATACAAGGAGATCTGGATGAACTGAGATTTGTGGCGTTTTACACCAGGTAAGTTTTATTTTGGGTTGATTCTCAGTTCCATTGTCATAAAAATCTGAAATAAACTGGATAATGTAAAGTAGATGCATATTTAGCTTCAACTTGGGTTATCTCATCTCTATTTATGAGCAGATTTTAGTCTTAAATCCTGCCTCCTTGTCTAATTTAACAATAGTTTCTCATTGTTTCTTCCTCTGGTCCATCTATAGGAGTGAGGAGGTGGTTGCTGTTGCCAGCATGAACTATGATCCCATTGTATCCCGAGTGGCAGAGGTCTTAGGATCCGGAAAGACGATTAAGAAACGAGATGTGGAGTAAGTCCCCTTCCCGGACTTAAATCTGGTCTCGGCTACAATAGCTGTTATGTTCTTTAGGTCTCTCAGGTTTTACTGTGAAGAAAAACATGACAAACGTTATTATCACTCTGACAGAAAACACATCGAGTCGTGGAGCTTGTGACTTAAATCACATGCAAAGTATTATATAAGCCAAACTAGTTGGCTTATTGAAACTATAAGTCACAGTGCTACAGAAAAACAATAACACCAGTTGTTATTTTGTTCCTAAATAATACAGTGACACTTTATTTTACAGGTTGTGTCATTTTATAATCATTTCTGTGGATGTGACAAAGATAAAAATAAAAATTTAGTACAAAATATAGGAAAAAAGTAGACAAAGTTCTTTAATAGTATATTAGGTTCCCACTTATTTATTCCTTTTTAGGAAAGAACCAGGTAATTCTAAAGTTATATAGTTGTGTAGAGCTCATAATAAGTTATTCATTTCATTTTAATTGCTGTGAACACTTTAGTTTAACCGTCCTATTAAGTATATATTGTGTATAAACACTTAATTAATTGTTTAGAACATTAAAATATTGTTGTAGGCAGATTTTAACTTAAAATTAACTTAATTATATTGGATTACACACACAAACAAATCCATTAAAACCGTTTAAAATGTATTAAATCTCATGTTATATTCTATATGTTTACAATAGTTTCATATTGTATTGTCATCCATTATCTGTACATACACCAATACATACATATACACTTAAAATGTCCTTATATTTGCTTACAACTACACTGTAGTATTATTTAGTGTGTCAGAGACTATTTATTAATTGTTTATATACTGCTAATAAATGCTAAATTGGGAGTGAGGATTAAAATAAACTGTAGATAGAAATGAGTTGTTTGTAGACACATTTAAAATTCTTTGCATATTAATTGTGACCTAAAGACACTCAGTTGCACTAGGAAATCATTTTAATTAATTAACCTTCCCTTTTATTAATATCAAATTATATAGTATTTTACAGGAACATTTAAAAACAATTATGTCAGTTCCTTAAATTTGTATATTCTTAGTGACCTTTGGGTCCTGTTAAATAGTGTTACTACACGACTGTGTGGCATTGTGTTACTTTATTGTTGGTGTCTGTTTTGATCTGATTTGAATGTAGTGTTCCTCATGTCTCTCATGTCTTTCATTTCTAATTATGCAAACTCAAAATTTGAAGGATGTTAGCACGGCTTGGCAAGTACGAACAAATATGAGCTTTTTTTCCTATTTTCCATTTCATCCATATTGACCGTGTGGGCAGGGGCGTATCAAGAGGGGTGGCAGCCAGTCCGGTGTCAAAATGTTGTCAAATTTAACACATTAATTTAAAAAATAACATATTAAAAAATGGAAAATTAACACACATTTTAGACCAAGTGCTAAACTTTTTAGACAATTTATTAATTTCACCTTTAGATATTTCTATTATGTGGCACAATAATGTTTTTGAGTTAAAATATCTTCATATGGGGCCTTTTCCAAGTAAATATTGATGTGGTTAATATTTCTACCACCCCTTTAAGTCTCCATGCCACACTCCTGCCACCTCATTAATATTCTCTATCCGCCGGTGTGTGTAGGCGGGTTGTCGGCAATCAACTAGATAAACACACGACTGTGTCTCATGGATGCTTTTTTTCTGTGGTTTGCAGGACTGGAGACATTTCTTGGTTGATTGACAAAGGCTCTCAATGACTTCACATCTGACGGTCACAAGGACAGACCCAAAGTCAACCTCAATATAGACACTTATGGTGCTGAGACACTGAGCAGCTATCCCGGTCTGGACACACACTCACACACACACACACACACACACACACACACACACACACACACACACACACACACACACACACACACACACACACACACACACACACACACACACACACACACACACACACACACTGGGGACAGGACTGGGGACAGGACTGTTGGAGACACACTTCCCTGAAGACGACACTGAAACTTGCTTTTGTTCCTGAGAGACACTTAAACGTGACAAACGGAGCCAAATGCAGTCTGAATACACTGAATCACTCTGTTGGCAGGTCTTTTATGGCAATCTTGTCATGTTTCACTACAAAGCAATATTGGATTCAGCCTCTTCGCTGCTGCAAGATGTATCTACCTGTACACTTTGTTTATAAGAAGCCAGGGAAGGGCATTGGCATTTTTTTTGTACAAATAACATTGTATATATGCTATAATCCTGAATGCACTGTAACAAAATAAGAACATACAATTTGAACTGAATTTTTCTAAGTTTTAAATAACAGATTTGGTTGTATGTTCGCATACAGGCCTTAGAACTGCATGCTATAATTTACTATAATAGGAGTTAAAACAAATAAGCCCCTAAACAGAGTTTTCTATTAAAATGCATCAGCAAACAAAGCTTAAACCTGCTAAAAAGAAACTGCATAATCACTGCAGCAGAACCCTGAATGCAGCTTTAACTCACACACTAACACACACACACACACACACACACACACACACACACACACACATACCTGCAGCTTTAATTCGTAATATATTACAATTTCTAGGATTACAACATACCTCTTTGTATTGGTTGCCTTGCTAGTGGATTGCACAAATGAAATTCTAATCAGACTTTGATCACACATTAGTGCTTGCAAAATAGATTCATGTATTATCTAACAAATAGATATCACCCCTTTAGAACAAATCTAAAGTATAGCAGCTCACATGTAAGGTTATTTTTCATAGCGGTCACCTCCATTGGTATATTCTTTGTTACTAACTCAGGGAACTGAGGCTTGTGGGCTTACTGGAGTTTCTGGTCCTTTTGCAAGCAGAAATTAAATTGCTTTAATATTGTTTTCCCGGTATATTGTTAATTGCACCAGTTCCTTCAGAAACTGCTTATAGTGGGTGTAAAGAGGGTTATATAAAGCGGATGCTTGATTACATCCTGGTGTGCTGATGATCCCAAAATACTTGAGTCCTGACACACATTGTTGTTCCTACAGAGAAGCCTTGAATGGCATTTTTATAACTAAACTTTGAAATAAAAGTCTTCCAACAACAACTACTCACTGCTTTACACAACGTTTCCTTCTCCATGTTACTCCACCTATTGTTTCTGTGTGCACTCTTGACTTTATTAACAAGGAAAACTGTAAATAGTCAGAAGAGTAAAAGTCAGTAGAAAATGTTTAATAATTTTCCAGGATGTGACAGAGTTTGCAGCTTTATGACACGTTTCATTCTTTGAGTCGGGGTTACTAAGAAAAACAGTCTACATTTCTCACAATTAAAACATTTTTTGGAAGAAATTACACAGAATAGATAAATTCACATACAATTTATAAATGAAATCAAACAAAAAAAAAGATTTTCCCTAACGAGGACACCTAACACACACACACACACACACACACACACTACAAAACTTGACAGTGTTCACAGTCATATTGCAAACAGCCCGCAGAGGGTTTTCTACATTATTTGGGTAAAAAGCACCTCAAAGACTAATAAATACATCTACAAACACTGGAGTGAAGGCAGAACATGGTAATATAGTCCTAAAACCGGATCTATAGACAACATGAAGGGTTCAGTGCTAGATATACATCAGTGCAGTGACAGCACTGATTGTAAAAGTATTTAAATGTCTGTGGTTTATGTAAATATTATCACATAAAAATCACAAAACAAAACAGAGACTCTTTGGAGGCAGGAGACAGCTTGCAGCTCTTACTGGTATGAAAATATGTGAAAAAATATCCGTCTATAATGCCCGAGTATTATCATAGCATTGGTTATTGTAGTATTAAAAACAGTCAGAATGCAAACGCATGCAGGATATTCTGGCATCTCATACTGAAGACAACATGACAGACATCCGGACGGTGGAGTGAGATTTGAGGACTACATGACAACAGACTTTACAGAGGACATTGTAAAAAAAAACACTATTGCTGACAGAAAGCAGCTGCAGGTTACTCATGAAGAAATTAATAAAAAGTCCATTTGTAAACACTTCTTTCTAACATCTGCATTTATGCACTACAAAAATTTAAAAATATCTATTCACATTATGATATTAGTTTTCATCAAATGACTACAATCACAGCTTCTCCTGTAAAGGCACTTTTTTAAATTCTTAATCTTTAAGCTCTTGAGATGAGAAATGCTGGCAGTGATCTCTGCTGCATCGGAGGGTTACACATCTGCCCGACTGAGAAGAGAAAAACCTGATCGTTTGGTGGATGATCGTCTGTTTAGAAAGTCCCGCTGGTTCCACTCTAAACACCAAATGACGCACTGTGGCAGATGAGCCGATCGTTCACTAACATCTTGCATCAATATGCCGACATAAATGTGTAAACTGTCTTCAGCTTACCCGGGGTCAGAGGTCATATTCTGCTGCACACTGCTGCAGGTACCATTCGTACAACTTCCCCTGTGGAGTAAAAGTAACTGTGTGAGATTCACAATTCTGATGATTAAAATGTGACAAATGAAAATGTTTAAATCTGCATTCAAGTTACAATCTTATAAGTTTTGATGAATTCAAACCCTGTTTTTTCCCCATTTAATGTATTTACATTCTGTAAAAACCTCTCTTTAATAGTCGATTTAATTGCTAATGTGTGAGGGGTTCACAGGAAATAGTGAGGAAGTTACCCTTTGTAGTTACTGATATCACCCCCGAAATATTAACCTTATATAAATGTTGTGGAAAAGTGTTAGCAATTAGCACTAAAGTAGTGGGCAGTGAATCCTAACCGATGAACTGGGAACGTAAAAAGCTCCGTACAGCTGCAGTCAAGAAATAAGTCTCAGTGTGTTTGTTCTTTGTACAGTAATTACACATGCATTACTGCAGCTTTAACTTCTGTACTCGACATCACTCAAAATAGAAATCTAACCTTCTTAGTTTTGACGATGTCCTGGACATAATCACTGTACTCTGCCATCGCCCTCTTCTCCTTCTTCGTCAGAGTCTTATTCCCTCGGCTGCGGAGGAAGAACATCACAACAATGTCCATGTGTTTGTGTGTGTGTGTGTGTGTGTGTGTTTGTGTGTGTGTGTGTGTGTGTGTGTGTGTGTGTGAGAGAGAGAGTGTGTATATGTTGGCTGTAAAACACACACCCTCCTTGACAAAACAGGAAAAGCTCTACTTTATTCAGACATTTCCCAGAGGGTTAAGATTATTTATGTTAAGGGTTTCACTTTAAGTAACCTGGTTTCCATGTAGACGGAATCAACATGTGCGTAGGGCTGCAATTTACAATTCATTACCAATAAGTCTGCCAATTATTTTGTCCAAAAATAGTTAACAATGTCCATTAGAACTTCTAAAAAACCCCAAATTACATCTTTAAAGGTCTTGTTTTGTCTGAGCAACAGTCCAAAACCACAAATGAGAAGCTGGAATCAATGTGGTTTTGGCACTTTGTTTTAGAAGCAATGACTAAAAGTAATATTTAGGAGGATCGCCTTCCATGGAAGTCCACCATGTTTAACCGCCATGTTTCTACAGTAGCTCAGTACGGACAAACCAAACACTAACATCAGATGTGGCCCTTCATGTTTTTCGCGGGTTTCGTGGCCATTGTAGTTTCTCTTGCATACTTCACAGCCCGTTCTCATTCCCAGGTCGTCAAATACAGATGCGAGGAGTGTTCAGTTAGTTGCAATCTGAAACTTCACCGCTAGATGCCACTAAATCCTACACACTGGTCCTTTAAACAATTGATTGATTATCAAAATAGTTTTAATCAATCATGGTTTTAGCGCTAAGTGTGTGTATATGTTTGTATTGTATTTGTAACACTTACCCTGCAAAATACTTTGCTAGGAAAAGCAGGAGGTAGCAAAATGCTCCAAAAACTATCACGAATACAACTTGTCCATCTTCTGGTATCCAGTCCCATAAACACATCACTATTCCCTGTAAGACACACGTTCAACAGACGCTCAGAGAACCAATAAAAATGAGCAGGTGCAAAATATGGAATTAAATCCTGTTTACTCTCAGGACTTACTGTGACAATGGAGAGGGTCCGAGCCGGGCCTTCGCCCAACAGCTCATCCAGCTGCTCTTTGGAGAAAGTGTTCACAATGAAACTGAGGATGAAGAGGGTAGGAAGGACAATACCCAGAGTACCACACAAGAACGAGTGCAGACGGACGCTTTTGTTGTAAGTCACATCAGTCCTGCGTGCACACAGAGGAAATCTGGTTTTAATATCACATTCTCTGCAGCGGGTAATATCTGTTATCTCGTCTGTATACACATGATATGGTTTATTTGCTCAAGGATGCAACCTGTCATTCTGCATCAGGGTAAATTAAATCGAACACAGTAACACATGCTAACCTGTCCTTCTCTAATCTGCTGCTGATGGTGGAACGAATAAGGTCACAGTCTTTCTCCAGCTGATCCAAAGTCTTCTGAACGGCCTGGTTGATGGTCTTCTCGATGGTCTGACACACCCCATCGATCTGGTTCACACATCGGCTCGGCTAAACAAGACAGAGGCTCATAAGTGCATAAAATCTGGAATAACTGTGCAAACACGTACAGCTGTGCACCTCAAATAGGGAACAGGGTCTGGAAACGTCTAAAAGAAATCCTGAGGGGTGTTTTGACTGACAGCCATGTGCATTTAGCAGGAAGTGAAGCTGCACTTGCTCAGCGAAAATAAATTGGAGGTCAGGAGGGATGCACAAATCTACCATATGGAGTAGAGCTTTGTGGTTGTAGATCACAAGATGGTGCAGCAATAACTCAGGGCTGGGGCTGCCATTGTCAAAGGTGGCTGATCAAAGGCCATGGTTTACAACCACTGTTCGCCCACAAGAGTGGATAACTCTCTCAGTCATCATATTGCAAAATGAATCATCCTGTCCCAGCCAGTAAACCTGGAGTGGAGAATTTACATTCAAGGATAATCGATGGCTGTTCAACCCCAAGGATAGCAGAGAGCTTTAAATCCAGACTAAAGATCAGACCTGGATCTGTTAAAGGGAAACACGAAAGAAAAAGGCCAGAAACAGGGGAGATGCAGTGCATGATTTAGGGCAATTATCTGATGGTATTGTTTAAAGTTAGTAAAATTGAAGGTTAAAACTAAAAACGTATAGATGTAGACTAAAATGTCATTTATAGGAACATACAGCAAGCAAACAAACCTTCTGGGGGTTGGGGATGTATATTGTCGGCATCTCAAAACCACATTTGTTGAGACCAGGACGGCGACACAGTTCCTGGACTATCTGCATCATCACCCTCTGCAGAAACAAACAAATGAAAGTTCATTTATCAAGTTTAACTTGACTTTTTTGGGGGATCAAAATAAAATAAATATAGATTTAGTGTACTTTACCTGTCTGTCTGTTTCCTTCCCAGCTTCATCTGCCTTGCTGAGGTAGAACAAAAGCTTGTCTCCACATTTCTCACTCAGCTTCTCCACAATGTTGAGTGTGCGTTTGCAGAGTGCCTGGCCCATCGGGTCGAAGAACACGAATATCAGGTCGGCCTGTTCTCCTGCACAGAAAAAAACCCCATCCATTAGAGGAACAACAACAGCTTTAGAGTAGATAGTTAAACAGGTGCTAAGACATACCCAACCAAGTGATGGCGCTGTTGACATCAAAAGGGTAGACCATGTCCCCGTCCACCAAACCCGGTGTGTCCACGAATGTCACCAGACTGAACTTCTTCTGCTTGGAGGTGGAAATCTCAGCAGACAGATAGTCCATAACACCTGGAATACACAAACACTGTGTGTGTACAGGTGTTTCCTTCGGGATAAATTCATAGTAACAACGGTGGTAAATAAAAAGTTGAGTCCCCGCAGGAAGCTGTCGCCTTTAATGACTATATTACTATGTGCTACTGGAAGCCGCAGTGCAGTCAATACTTGGAAACCTGAGGGAGGCCGGTGTCAGTAAAGATCAAGAATGCTGTCAACCTTTTGGTGCTTGCAGGTTTGCATTTGTAACTGAACTGCAAAATCGTGGAGGATGATCTGGATGAAACATGTATGTCAGCTGTGAACAAACATTAAAACATTTTA